TTCTGGTAAATAAAAACTTTCTTCTTTACTGAGTTGTCAGGATCCCGCTTAGGCTGTGGCGTGCTGCGGTAGTTGATAAATTTCTTCTAGTAACATTTAGATAGAGACAACTTCGGGCAAACTGCCCTTTTTAGACTGCATGGCACATAGGGTCCGGGGAAAACTAGAGACCAGAGTGTGCCAGAAGCCAACTGACCCTGGGGGAGTTTTGAACTACTCGTCTGCCCATCCCAAGTCGGTATTCGCCAGTATTGCCTCATCAATGTTTGGGCGTGTAAGGGCTCCGTGCACAAAAGCAGTTGATCGGACAGGGGCTCAAATTGAAGTAAAGGATAAACTTTGCAGTAGTGGATATCAGGCTACTTTGATTAGGCGTCAATTGCGAAGGGTCTTGTTATCGGTGAAAGGAAGAAGCCCTTCACTGTGGAATTCTTTATTAGAAAATGTCAACCGACCAGTTAGACTATTGGACAGGGAAGCGAAACTCTCATATACATCTTATTTACAAAAACTGAACATCCATCTTCTCCTGAACGCGTCTTCCTGAACTATGCTGGATATTCATTGACTGTTGCTCAAATCCAAGCAAATGCTACACAGCGACTCCACAAATTCCGTAATACATCTCCTCTTTCAAGAGACGCAAAGTGAATTTACAAGAAAACATACTACTCGCATGCCTCCCCTATCAGTATTATCGCCGTTACATCGGTAGCGGAACCAAACAGGCAATGGATTGGTGTTGCCGTTATTCCATATAAACCAGGGACATCCGAAGGATCCTAAACACGTCTAACATAAGAGTTGCTTTCCGGAAAGGGAACACTGCGATCTGCCTTGGTGCAATTGAAGGATCGCCTCCTGGCGAACAGAACCGGGGGATAACACACTGTGCACTGAAAATGTCTGTTCGAATGGTGACGAAACGCCGAACACATCAACAGCCACCTGATCAACTACCAAACTACAAGGTTTTAACAACAAGTATAGCTCTGCTGATCAAATCAAAACAGCCCCTACTATGTGCATGGAACCAGTTGAAGCATGACATTGATCAGGTAACATACAGAAATCAATCAATCAGTGTCTGTACGGCACTGTTTTAAAACAGCATGTTTTAATTCCACGACCGAATGCCAACATATCGCGGAATAAGTCCTGTTCAAAAAATTTCTCGATCGGTTTTTTTACTGTCTGACATTCGACTAAACCTAATACAAAAACGGTGTGCTATTTGTCTTGGTCAAAACAGCTGACGATATGGATTTCAGCTGCGATTTAGCACTCGGGAACGCACCGCTCGAAATGTCGCATTCGGTTGTGTTCGACTTGGCTACAAACCAATAAAAAAGGACAAATGTAGACGCTTGGCACGAGCAAACGGTCCCGAAGGAGCAATTCAATATGCGCTCATCTTGAATGGAACGCACCAGGCGGGTGTGGCAAAAGGATTCTGCATACTAATGACCGGCGTAGCCGCACTTTGTCTAATACGCGTTTGTGTGTTATGTGTGTACGTTACAGCGTCCCTCGGTTACGACGAATACAACCCGATTGTTACGTAGTCTCAGGTCCCACTCAGTCTCCCATCCCAAATGAACTGTCGAACGTTATAAATCAAAGCCAATGGATGCGATTCAAAATGGTTCGCAAACGGAAAGATAACGGTTTCGTGAATTTCAACTGACATACGACTACAGATCAAAATGTCACTTTCCCAAACGCATTACATCCGTTATCCAAAGACTTCCTCCAAAACTGGTTACCTCTAGGACAGTATGAAACGTGGGCCCGTGCTGGCCTGTCGCTCGAAAGGGACAGATTTTTTCTCGACATCATCAAACAAAAGCGGCGCCATATTCATGTCATCATCCAGTCAAGTGTTTCACGCCAGATACTTAAAAAAGAGCACGCAAATATTATTCCTTTTGTCAATTACTGACTTTAACCGAGTTGGAATAAAGAGAATCGATGGACGAAGGACTAAATGGGGACATTGGAGCCAACATTTCACAGGAATGCGGTCTCCAGAACGTTTGAAATATAATAGTTTGGGGTTGAAAACCAGAAATTCCTGCACGGACAACGCCTCTCATTGATGACTTGTTAGCCCTTACTTTCCGAGGAACAATTAACACAGGAATTGGAATGTGTACAGTTCGTGGTTGCTCTTAAGGGGCGAGATAGCTGACCGGAAGGTCCATGGTTCGAAAACGACCTCCCCTGTCTAGTCTTGGGCTGCCTGGCAGTATCGTATCCCTCGTTGAACCTTCGGGTGGCAGTCAGGCACCGAAAGGGTGCCACAGCTGAACGATTTATTTTGTTCTTAAAATTGGCAACGAATGGGAAAACTGAAGAAAAAGGGATGCCACGCCAAGGTTCTTTTGCGACAGGCAAACCGACTCACACTATGGAAAGCAAACACGTCACCTTGTCGAGCTTAATCACCCATCGGTCAGTCAAGGAACCCCCTCAACCGCGCAGCGGGGACACCTCCTCGATTGGGAACGAAGGGCTTGCAAACCAATAATCAAGCTCGGCGAACAGATCAGTGGCCGTCTGATCAACCATCAATAAACGCAGTCGAACTACCAAAGTTTCGACAAGTGGACAGTCTAATTGTATTACATGACGTGAGTCATTTTGGAGACAGCTTCAGCACCCAAGTAACGAAGTAGCTACCGAAGTGTCTACACAGCTTACGTAAAGAACAGTGGCGAAATGTACTGGACTGGATATTGGATCAAGCTAAATGTGACGGGTGATTCTAAGCATATATGAGGTCCGATGGTCATTTCAGGCACTCTAGCCATTGGTTGGTATCTCACAAGGCAAAAAGCGAGTACAACAGCATATATCTAAAAGTTCCAACAGAACTGTCACTGCAGTGATTAAAAATCATGGCGCCCGAGTACTGGTGTTTTGTGGATGCTTCAGACTGCAGGCGGACCTAAGTATTCAAAAGTAATGACATCGGTTCTTCAAAAATGTCAAAGGATAGAGGTGAGACCATTACTGGAAGAATGGTGTTCTAAGGTTTGCAAACCCGTAGGAAATTCCCTCGGCAATCTACTACCGCTGGTGGGTTCCGAATTGGGCGCTGCTCGAAAGATGCAACTAAGGTCGCTTTGAGGACGGGAATCGGGTCTCCTGGAATTTCCTGATTTTGTTCAGAGGATTAACCCTTTCTTTGGCAGATCAGGTGTTGCTTGACGGCAGCAGATTTTGACAGCCAGGTTTTTTTTACTGAATAATACAGTCAAGGGCCCCCTGACAGTTTGCTGAATCCGCACATCTTGAGGAGCTTTTACATAATACCCATTTATGGCATCCGTTGCTGGAAGCAATTTTGGTTTGCCATCTCTACCGATCTACGCACCTATTGTAAACTGCGAGTGGATACGATCTGGGATATCAGTGGATTCTGTACACGTATCTCTCGTAGGAGATACCGAGTCGCTTAGGTAGACTAACACACTTTCCCAAGTCGCTTCGGAGAGAACAGTCTATTCAATACATACACAAGAGTGGAGAACTAACTTGAAGCTATGCACACATTTGCCTGGACCAAGTTTGTTTTTGTTCACAGAGTTTCAATTGAGATGAGACTCAGAGACAATTGGCATTGCATTAGAAGGATCTCATCGCCTCTTGATCCGCAAGATGAACTACTTGACACATTCAAGTAGTCAGATGGATTCGATGAATCTCCAACAATTTACCGTCAGTGCATCTCGACTCAGCTGAGGCCCAGACACTACGTAAAAAAATTGGTGCTTCGACTGAACACGTTTTTGTGAGGAAATAAGACAGAACAACAGTATCTAGACCGATTCCAGTAAAACTTGACGCGGCGTAGATTACGAGTGTTCTTGAATAAGACAAGTCTGTTACACCCCTTGGAGAAGTGAAATGACCCAATGGGATCGAGTTTGATGTCACCGGATACACCAGCTCCTACGAACTCCAAATGATGAGCGAATTTCAGTCCCTAAGCTCCAGGTCAGACTTGTGGTTGAATCGGTGAACCCGTGTTATCCCGTACAAGAACCGGAACAAAACACATACGCACACCCAACTGCATCAAAAGTGCAGAGTGAGAAATTCTGTGATCCATTTAAACAACCAGTTGTCTACGAGTTAAGCTCTGACACCTCAAAAATGGGATGAACTGAGTACGTTCACAAACAAAGATGTTGGGGTCGGCGAGCTTCGTAATGTTGCATACGGGGACGGTAGGGCCAAAACAATTGATATGGTTAAACTAGAAGGACAAAAATACACATTAATAAAGCGCGTCACACCGCGACCAACGCACACTGGTCTGAGAGAGTGAGGTCCTGAGATCGATTGGTAACGCTTACTCGGGGTGAGGCTGAAAATAGGTACGGATATAAAATTAAAGATAAAAAAGAGGTGTGTCAGTATGATACCGTGTAAAAAGTGTCAGAAAACCTGAGGTAGATTGTCCGAAACAGTGTGCGTGTCCACACAAAAAAAAACAGGAAACACATCGTACTGAGGTAGGAACAGACGGAACGCGATTATCACTAAACTGGTTGCCCAAACATTTCCTGGGCTCAAATTTAAAAAGGACTCAGTATCCCTGAGGCGTACAAACGGGGTAAAAAAAAGGCAGAAAATAGTGAAAGGACGATTGTACAAAAAACCCCACGACATCTAATCACAAAAGATTGTCGAAAAAAGAACACATGATAAGACCATCCATCGCCAATGTTGTGAAGTTGAGAGTTACAAATGAAAGAAAATACATCGATCGAGTGAGGTATGGGAAGGGTCAGTGAGTGATATTCGAGACTATCACATTATGTGGTAGGATTGACGTGGGACTGTACAAAACAGCTGAGGGGCCCATGCGAATCTCCCAGTTTTCGTAGTCAACTGGGACAGGGTCGGACAAGGCACTCTAAAACCTCAGTGGACAGCAAACGGCCGTTGTCGGGAGAGGCACAAAATAGTCGTGAACGGAAACACAGCCATCACAGGTTGATATAATCGGTAGACGAGGGGATGGGTTCTAACGGACTCGATTTCGCCTGATCTGTCGATGGCAATGATGGTGAGCTGCCGGGGTGAGGAGGTAGGTCTGTCGGTTCGATAATTGCTTCTTGTTCCAGTACGCGTACGGGGGTTGAAGTTTTCTCCGAGGAGCTGTTGTAAAGCCGTTCTAGTAGGTCAAGTATACGTATCACACCAGAGCCATCGTCTAGCAGAGCTCGCACACGCAACGCAAGAAGATGTAGTGCTGGAATACGCAGCAATAGGCGTCCCATACGACCATGCGGAGCATTTGGCCACAGCTGACTGCAGTTGTACTCAAGCCCGGCATAGACTTGATCACGAGCAGATTCAACTTGGGTCCTGTATTCCGAAGGCAAGCCAACCGTTTCTGTGGATTGTAGAAGAGAATATGGGTAGACATGCGTGCACTGATGGCCTGACAAACAAAGTCTATCGGTAAAAACACTCATTTGCAAATCAATTTGGTTTTCAGGAGAGACTCAACTGATGAGCCCCAAGAAGGGCTCATGGGCTGTCGAAGAGTTTTCAGCAACCTTGTGAGTAGTTTCCTTTATGAAAAGTCTATTGATCTTGAAAACTCACATTTGACTGAGGAAATCGCTGCGTTTTATTTAGGTACACAAAAAAAATGACATCAAATGCTTCCCGACCGTGCGAAACGGTTTTAGAGAGTGGGTTAGTAAAACAATCAACCTTGTGGGCTGTCGAGAGTTTTCAGCAACCTTGTGAGTAGTGTCCTTTATGAAAAGTCTATTGATCTTGAAAACTCACATTTGACTGAGGAAATCGCTGCGTTTTATTTAGGTACACAAAAAAAATGACATCAAATGCTTCCCGACCGTGCGAAACGGTTTTAGAGAGTGGGTTAGTAAAACAATCAACCTTGTGGACGGAGACAGCGGGCAAGACGTGACGCGAAAACGATGCACAAAGAACGCAAGTATTGGACACTATACTATCAGAGTGTACATTGCTTGAACAAATCCTTTAATTGGGGGTTCGGTTCAAATCGAGACCTTAACCACGCCAGGGTGTGAGGATTTAATTTCCTTACCATTTCACATAATGAAGACTAACAAATGAATGTCGTCCAGCTGTAACACCCAAATAGAGCACGAGGGCTGAGATAGTGTCAAGTTAACCTGGCTTGAAAAAGAACAGTCAAGATGCTGGGGATGGATTCGAACGATGGATCTTTCAGCCAGTGTGTTCGCGCCTTAACCACTGAGCTATCTCGAGCTCAATAAACGAATGCCCTATCAGTAGCTTTTTATTGAATGGTAGTCGGATACTAAAAAACAATTCCCAGGGACAAACAGCGGTAGTTCCTCAGGCATGCACAAGACCTTCGTTCCTGGACTTTCGAACAGACGCTATTTGATGGCACAAGACTAGTTTTCGGTAACAGTTGAAATACTGATGCTGATTTATATACAGGAAGAGAAAATGCCTTCAGGTTTACTGGTGGTTGATCAGATGACAGTTGATCTGTTCGCCGAGCTTGGCAATTGGTTTGCAAACGTTTCGTCCCCAGTCGAGGAGACATTGTCAGTGCGCAGTTGAATGGGTGCTTCCTCTGTGCCTAGCTGTGCCTATGTAATTTTTGTAGAGTATCTAATATCCTGTCATGTCATTGGCTAGTTGGTGTATGCCTTCTGTTGCCTTCGGGTTTGCACGAAAATGCGACGCTCCCATGTCATTCAAGCGAAACATGAAGTTTAGCATCCGTTTATTATATATCGTATTCGCTTTTTTGGATTGATGGTACCATTCGCACTGTATCAGACCAGATGAGAGTGCCCAAAGTGAGCACGATGATTTTGTTTCTCCACGACGGAGAGCTGCTCGACCGTCGGAAAATATGGCAGGAAAAGGGATAATGACATTGAAAAAAACAGCTGAATTACCGAAATGATCTCACTAAGGGGATTTGTAAGTGAGAACGTTTCTGAGAAAGATAGAATGTTGTACATATCACGTTGAAAAAACTCTGGAATTGCCAGGTACGTCGGTGTTGCATCGGTGCAGCGTCGGTTGGGCGGAATAAGGGAACAGGAAGGGGTTCCTTCCGTGTGTTGCCCTGCGACCTAGCACTCGACCTCCTGAGCTGCTCAGTGAATACTCGGAGGCAGCATCCTTCATGGGAGAGGAAACCTGACCATCAGTGATTTGGCCGAGATTATGATAGTAACGAGCCTAGTGACTGGCTGAAGTCGGCTTCCGACTTGTTTCGACATTATCCTGGTTCACGGGATACGTTATGGTCTTTGCGGCGGAATAAGATATTACGATATCTTCAATATCTAGGATTTTATGTGTGTGTGTGTGTGTGTGTGAAAATAACTCACGCCAAACCATAGACTCGTCCGTGCTAGCACGGTCGATAACCAGAAATGTAGTGTCATTTTTCGTCCTCATATAGCCCTCGTGCCCTGCTCGGTACTGGATGGGGACGATCTCGGGGAAGGTCAGTCCATGACCCCGGAAGCCAGATGCCTCAGTGATTAAAGCGCGAATTTACTAATCGAAACTGTCCGTGACCTCTGCTTCTCGACTTCCCCTGTCTAGGCTTGGGCAACCTGGCAGTATCCAAGTCCTCATGCTTCCTTTTGGTGGNCCTGATCAGTGCATCTGTCGAGATATATGATAGTAACGAGCCTAGTGACTGGCTGAAGTCGGCTTCCTACTTGTTTCGACATTATCCTGGTTCACGGGATACGTTATGGTCTTTGCGGCGGAATAAGACATTGCGATATCTTCAATATCTAGGATTTTGTGTGTGTGTGAAAATAACTCACGCCAAACCATAGGCTCGTCCGTGCTAGCACGGTCGATAACCAGAAATGTAGTGTCATTTTTCGTCCTCATATAGCCCTCGTGCCCTGCTCGGTACTGGATGGGGACGATCTCGGGGAAGGTCAGTCCATGACCCCGGAAGCCAGATGCCTCAGTGATTAAAGCGCGAATTTACTAATCGAAACTGTCCGTGACCTATGCTTCTCGACTTCCCCTGTCTAGGCTTGGGCAACCTGGCAGTATCCAAGTCCTCATGCTTCCTTTTGGTGGCACGGCAGTTAGGCACCGAAAGGGTGTTACAGCTGAACGACTTTCGTTCAGTCCATGACCTGACAATGAAGCACAAAAGCTCAACTCATCATTGATTGCGTCAACTCATTCGCACTGTTAACTGCCGTCTCCACGGATAGGGACGGCGGGACGAGACAAACCAATGGTTAGTAACCCTGACAAGTATGGATGTGTCACGCAGCCAATGGAGGTGCTGCAGCAAAGCTATCGCCCACATTGGACAAACAAGTCCATTTGTCGTCAATGTACATATGGGGGCATCGTCTCCAACGCTTCCATTCCCTCGGTCTCATTATCCACGATGAACGAAGTTGTAGCAGCTACAAACGTTCCACTTCGATACACGGTTTGCGAAAACCGTAAACCATTCAGCTGGAGCACCCTTTCGGTGCCTAGCGGCCATGCCACCCGAAGGTTGCACGAGGACTGGGATACTGCCAGGTTGCCTGGATAGGGGAAGTCGAGAGACAGAGGTCGGGTTCGAACCACGGACCTTCCGGTCAGTAAATTTTTTCTCTAACCAGACCATCTCGTGAGCTGAGAAACTAAACCGGAACTGAAATGTTGAACGAGCTGCTACATAAAATGCAAGACACGGAGTTGCACCAAATTTTGTTCAAACATACTACTTTTTCCCTCTTACACCGCTTTCGGTCGACCTCGTCAGCAACGGATAAATAGAGTGGAGATTGGAACGGGTATGGCAATTACCTGGATTCAACAGGATGATTAATTTTATGCTCCCCAGTTCCGCTGGTTGCAACCGAAGCGGGTGCAATTGAAGAGCTGCAGCGTGGACAAAGTTAGGGACGGATTTTTCGGAACGGTTCGATCCTATTGGTGGCTGGTCACCTGAGGAAGGTGCGTTGGGTGACTGAGAGTGAGTAAGTAGTTCATACTCTGGATCAGAATGTTCCTCATTCGGAGAACCATCAAGAGACGTTTGATCGGAAAAACGGAGAGTAGACCGGAAGACCAATTGGGAGAGCAACAATTCGAAGCAAGCTGTAGACAGAAGTACGAGAGACGAGAAGATAATGTGAACAGTATTGAAACAATGCGCGCCGATAAAAATCCCCTAGCGTGTATCAGAACAGTAAAACTGGCAAATGAGCACTCGGGACACTCACCGGATTTCAAAAGTGTTAACCGCACGGCGTCAGGAAAGTTGGTGAAAAACGGAACTTGCTCGGACCAGGCGAGTAGAGCACGCAGAGGTAGCTCCTGTGCGGGACACTGATAAAAGATCAAAAAAGGTCGGGTTACTATACGGAATGACGCCAAACGTAGGTGGATTTTTTGTATTACTCCCAATGATAGATGCAAACTACTCGTTGTTATACTACAAGCTTACAGAAGGAACATAACATCTTCAATATATAGTGGGCCACAAGAGGAGCACAATTGAAGACAAACTTTCCAACCACAACCACAGATACAAAGGCAACTAACCAGTATACAACATCCCACCATTCACACAATGAAAAAAACGTTCAGCGGGATGCAGAAAGAATACACCATAGTTTGTCATCGGGGTCTTGAAGATCCATAGTGCGAACATGAGCTGCCAGTAGAATGGATACTTCAGGATAACAATAAGCGTGTCGAGGTGGAGAAGGTCCAGTTCGTAAAACCGAATAAAGACACCGTCTTCACGGAATTTTCCTTGTGGATTCCATCTTTGGTGAAGGGCCGCACATCAGGATGTGGTTGGTGGACTTCCGGAGAGAGTGGCCTCTTTCCTGGGGAGATTAGCACAGACCTAAAGAAACCTCGGTCATAGGACCCGCGGATAGTTTATCACATCTGTCCGCACCATATCACCGAGTACTTTGAATTTGAGAAGACCTAACGAGGTACTGATCACTATCTTACACAGGACCTGTCCACGCCACATCACCGAGTACTCTGAATTTGGGAAGACCTAGCGAGGTACTGATCACTATCTTACACAGGACAATGGTACACAAGAGACCGACAAAAAACCCAATAGCAAGAAGAGATCTTCAGAGCTGTGCTGAACAGAATAAAGGCAATACACGTCCGTGTGCGCATTAAATAGCAGTCAGCATAGCCAAAGCGGACCATCCTTGACCTTCGGGAGAAGGAAAGGATCTACGAATTCGTGGAATACCGAACAGGTTTAACAGCAACCATCTCCTATGCATAAAGACCGTCTTTAACCAGTCTTGTTGTGGCCAAGCAATGAACTTTGTTGAACAAGTTCCCGGTTCCACAGAGGAGCAGTAATATCGGACAGCAGTTACCCTGATTAAGGAATAAACGGTTAATCAACAGAACGCCCAGCCCCCTCTAGAGAGACTGTTCCATCAGTTATCACCATTAGTATAGAAAAGTAATTTCTCACATCAACGAATGGAAGATCCGCTTGTTGTATTTGTGCGCCAGATTGCTCATTGACCGAATTATCGTCATCTGCATTCTGATCTTTTCGGATGTCCTGTCCTTTGCGCTGAGCCAGCCAACTTTGATGATAATCGTGCAGAACCTTCTCGGCTGAGCCTATGCAGTCCAAAGACTGGGGTGGCGAAATGGAGGAGAGCGGCCCAGTAGTGTCGATTGCGCGGGAAGATGTCGAACAATTGGATTGGCCTGTTTGTTCGTGTGATTGGTCATACTGTTTTGTGGTTGACAGCGAGATGAGGGGAGTAGATCCCTTCGGTGCGTTTTCCCCTATAGGTTTATAATCGAAAACCGCGGTGGGTTGGTCATCCGGATGCAAGGGAGTTTCGTCTACATTGAATGAGGAAGAAGAGCCGAGGGCATCTGGGGAACCGGCGCCGGAATTCGCCGGAGAATCAGTCGAGGTACATGATTGGTTTAACTGATTACGTTCTTCTTGAACCGCTACAACGAACAGAGAGGCATAAGGATAGAGGTTTCGTTTAGCTATTCATACATCGAAACACATTAACCTGATACAAATCCAATACCAAACAGTGTTGAGGGGAATTCCCGTGTCATCACTTCAACAATTTAGGTTGCTAAATATATTATTCTCCAAAGCAACGAAGTATCACTTGTGATTTATTCTCGAAGCGTCTAACCTCGCGTCAAAAACAGGACTAAGAGCAAATTCCATGGGGAATCGCCACCCGTATGCGAGACAAACTGCAACGATATCAAGTTGCCGCGGACCTGTTTTGCCACGAAGACAACGTGAACAGCTGTCATGAATTCCGACACAACATAGCGATTCAACCCTGATAGATGCGCAGGTCATCTCGGTCACCTCAGAGTAAGATATCCCTCAGATATCCTTCAGAACAGGTCCCGATGTGAATTCAGGACACACTATGGGAAGCTGTCAAATCTGGGCATCGTAGTTCAACATCAAAACAAGTTTTAAACCCATATCAGGACATCTTACGACCAGGAAGGCGAAGTCATGATGTGAAAAGTGTATGGACTTAGACAGCAGCACAGAAGGTGTGTGTGCACTGCAATCCCTGCGCTATCCCAGGTTACGTATAAAGTTCGGCAAAGGAAGAAGGGGCAGACCTCAATTGTCCAGAAAGGGGAATATAGAGTCGATGGACCAGAATAATGCACGAAATATGTGCGATTTCGTGTAAGAGAAACACTAAATGCCAAAGAAACCGATGCGAATCTAATGATGTCCAATGAACGGACGGACTAACACTGAGATTCACCCATCTCACGCTTGTTTTCCCACCTGTATTGTATACCTGAAAAATCTCACTACTAAGAAAATATCAGTAGGCAATATTTTCCCGCACAACCCGCACGTGCTTACCGTGCGGCCCCCAGCCCCCTCCACAGACAGAAGACAATAGCGAAGAAAGGATTGGTCGATAGATTCTGGACCAGGAGTCGACACACAAGCTACAGACAACCACTCACCTTCGCGCCGCATCCCCACCTGTAGGCATTTGTGGTAGCGACAAAATTGGCAACGGTTTCTTAAACGCCTATCGATTTGGCAAGACTGACTGTCTCTGCATGTGTACACCAGCTCTCTCCTGACAGTGCGCCTGAAGAATCCTTTACATCCTTCACATGAGAATACACCTGAGTAGATCAGAAGTGCATGACGGAAAGATGAGTTGAGGGTGAAGTAGAAGCAGAGAAACGGCCGGTTAGACGTTCGCAGTTACGCATGGTGATGGGAACAAGCCTTAAAATGAAACTAAACAAGTGACATATTTTGGCTCGTAGAACTCAAGTAAATGGAAAGCCGTTGGTGAAAGATAAACTTCCCAATTTAACAGGTTAGGGTACGAGAATGGACCAAGTACACTCATAGGCAAATTTAGTTGATGCCAATCACGAACTCAACTGCATAGAAGTTTCACATTTCAATTGGCGTCATATTCGAGAAATCCCAACAGGACATACTATTCATAAACGAGAGGTTCATTTCAGTCTCGTGTTAACACCAAGATAATGTGCAAATTAGTGCCGTTTGTCAGTTACGTACAATTTGATGTTCAAGTAGAACACGGATGATGAAAACGCCTATATGATTGGACGAAACCGGTAGTCGGCTGTCTAATGGTTTCCAGCAAACATATGAGTAGTATGTTCAGTCAGAAAGTCGTAGGAGAATATTGTGCACTTACCATAATGCTTCCCACATGCCCGATCTCCACATATTTGACATGCGTAGCCCAAACCCGTGGTCGTACTTGACACTGAGTCCACCGAAACCGCGCTACCAGTACTGCTTGTACTCATGGATCGGAGGAACCCTCCTCGGACTACTCTGCTCGAATGCATGGCTGCTGGTAAATGCGTCGTAGAGCAATCAATACTGGGAGAGACGGAGGCAGCAGTAGCGGACTCTCCGGTCGTCGAGTGCAAGAATGGAGAAATGATGGACAGGTTCACTGTCTGTTGGTGACGTTGGGACACATCGGATGCCGACGGAAAGCTCGTGTGTGGACTGTGTTTTGAAGGTGTGTTGGGTGATGTGAGGAGAACCGGTTCCAACGGACAATTCGTCAAAATGGGCACTTGAGTGATTAGGGTCGGTGCCGCGGTGGTACCAGTGATGTTGGCGACTCTTGGTGAACTGGCACGAGGTGAGTCATGGGATGGTGGTGGGTACGCTCCCGGTTGAGGATCGGAACGCCGATGGTGAATCATCGACGTGGGAACCGGTGACGTGCCCGCCACGAAACACGTCAAACTGGAGTCCGGTGCCGACAAAGGTGCGACGGATGAATGCTGCAATAATACGAAAGCAAGTATTGCACTGTGAAGATGGTCATACAAAAGTCAATGAGAAAAAAGTAAATCGTAAATTGCGAAGGAAAGGCGATACGGAACGTAGGGCTGGCTACCTAAATTTCACGCATCCAGAGGAAACAGCATCAGGAGATTGTCCGTTGTGATCAGTGCTTCGAAGTACAGTGCCGAGTGTGATCCTAATAGGCAAAGCTACTAGCTACTGCCCCATTAGAACGTTATCATCATCATCGACAGCATGACATCAGTGCTCAATACCGATGCTTCACTGCCGTACAACCATGATTTATTTGAAAGCCTTATTGTGAAGAAAAGAGTAAAGGTGGACAGGGAAGGGACTTAGTGCCAGCTTACCACAATCATTCCGAGGTGCCCACACCTACAGACATTCACTCAGGCAATCTGGATAGAAACTGACAATAAGAACGCCACTGACATCGGTTAGAAGCCATATCTTGTGGTGTCTCCAACCACATCCTGGAAGGCGAGTAGCACCGACAACACCCAAGCGTTTCGTAACCTCATTCATACTTCTCTGCCAAGTCAGGGGTTGGCCACCTCTCTGTTTACGCCACTCTGAGTTGGGCATGGAAAACAGCACTCTTTTCGGCAAACGATGGTTGGGCATACGTAACACATTTCCCAACCAACGCAGCTTCTGATGCTGGACACATTCTTCAATGGAAGAGCCCACTGCACAACCGAAAACTCGCTTTCTAACTGCCTCGTTACGGATTCGCCGACACTAACCCACACGAGCTATGGTTCTGAGACAACGATCGTCGAACACCTGAAGACGGATGTGCCTAGTAGCCACCTTAGCTTTTGCTTTATTTCGAGTATACCCAGATAAGCACGTTTCTTCGGTGTCCCGAATAGCACCTACTCAAACAGACCTTTCGGGGGCGTTGATCCAGTGTTGGTTCAAGTGGCTGGGACCGTACACAACCTTCCGATTCAAGCATTCAGCATCGAACTTAACGGTGAATTCCGGCGAGACAGCTGAGTGGGTAGAGCGCGAATTTACTGATCGGAAGGTCAGTGGTTCGAACCCGACCTCTGGCTCCCGACTTCCCTTCTAGGATTGGGCAAGCTGGCAGTATTCCGGCCCTCGTGCTTCCTTCTGGTGGCATGACAGTTAGGCACTGAAAGAGTGTTACAGCTGAACGATTTTTTTTGAATTCCGGCCAACCACCTCGACGTCAGCGCCAATTTCAGCTCATACGTTCAAACAACAAAGATATCGCATGTCTCGAATAGGAGGATCCAGCTGAAGTGCTGAGCCCAACAGCACAACGAACTTTAATGTAGCAACCATCCAGATACCAAGAGAGGACGAGTGAGGTTGTGTATTGGATGAACCTACAAATTCTAATAACTGCGGATGGAAAGACGTTGTGGACGGGTTGGCAGAATATTAGCTACCAGAGTTGGATGGTGATGAAATGAATCTCTCACTTAGTTTCGTCAAGTGGTATTGCCTAGCCAAGTGATTTAGACATCGGCTCAGGAACAGTGATCGGACCATTCGCCCCACGAGTTTGATCAACTGATTCTGGCGAAGTGGCTGCCTGCATACGGCAGTTCTCGCACTGATGATGAGGACGAACCAAACTCATGGCCACAACAGCCCAGTATGGACAACAGTCTCCATTGTTTGTCCCACTGTCACTTACTTATTCGCCCGATTGAAGTTGGTCAAGACCTAATACGTGAATGTCGTGTATTTGTACTGCGACCAGAACGTCGTCAATGGCGATCCGGCGATGAATTTGGTGATGCAAAGTATAAATTTACTGCTGAAAAGGCTTGATTGAATTTGGCCATCGGATTTCGGAGTGAGGGCCGCTACGAATTTCGAGCAGGCCCAACTTCGTCTACGAACTTGGTCACTCGTCAACCAACTAACAGTGAGACTGTTCGAACGGTTAGTTAGACAGTTATACCTGGAGGTTATATCTGGAGGTTCCGCGTAGTTCCTTCACCCACTAGAAAACCGCCAAGACGGAGTCCGTTTAAGAAACATGCGAGTCACGTGAGGCAATAACTTGTAGGAAAAACACATCACGTGAGGAAAAACTTGTAGGAAAAAACACACATGTAGAAAAAACATTTTCAGGCAAGAAGAAGAACGGTGCGTACTACTTCCACAAACCGTAAACGGAAGGCGTACCTGGACAGGTGAAATCTGAGAAGTACATTTTTCCCGAGACATTACGTGGACTTGTTCTAATGGGTAGAAACCGGCACTATTCGGGTCACATCCAACACTGGATGGTGCTGATTGCTGTTGCTGCTGTTTCGTATTCGAGCGTCGCCGATGACCCTTCGGTTGGATGGATGACCTCGTTCGGCGATCCATATTGCGGTAGCTTTGATGCTGGTGGAATTCTAGGCCTTCCGGTTTCGAAGGAAAAACAGTATGACCGCGACGTTGCTGACTGATTAGGGTAGCCGCACCGCCTTGGGTAAAGCCTGACCTAGCAGTGGCCAGCTGTGATGGGTTGGCAGCTGTCAAACTGGCATTGTATAGTGTATTGGAATTGACATTGAGCGATTGCAAATCGAAAGGAACCCCTCGCGCTGGGGCAGAATCCATAGGAGAATAGACTGGTAACAAGTTGGGTGTAAGAGAACTAGAACTTTGGTTCCGACTTGAATACGCCTGTTGATAGTCGCCAGCACCATGTGTTCCGTTCATAAACACGGTGGCTACCCGCGCCTGAACCGGAGCGGGAGTAAGGCTTCCACCAGTGCAGCAGGACGGTAACGCCATCTTCATATTTGGAGGGATAGCTAGCATAGAATAGACTGGTTGTGATAGTGACGATGAATGGGTATGAGATACACGAGGCTGGTGAGAACCGGGAACAATTGGATGGTGGGAATCTGCGAACAACCGAACCAAAGGTGGTACGGGTGATGCTTGAACCAACGTTGAATACTGTAAGTTCACAGGAGCCAGTGATCGACGGTTGGTTTCAGCTGAATGGATGGTGGTACGACCAAACGGGCTTGGTTGTTGCGGCGTTGGGCTGATGTGAGAAGAGAGAGGTTGTTGAGTAGGCGAATGTAAAACCGATGCTGGATTGGATCCATTGAAGTCATGTGCGAAGTGGTTCAATTCATTCAGGCTGGCGGCACTGGGGCCGCCAAGGACCGGGGGAAATGCGACGTAATTCGCATGTACTCGGGTGGGAGTTGTATAATTCGCATAGCCCCTATCTGCCGGAGATCTGAGAGGAGATAAGACACTGTTAGTTACGTTGCGAGGTTGCGAGCCATTTGAGTAGGCGATCTGGCATGTGGGATTTGTGTTGTAATGTACCGTGTCTTGTGATGGAGGAGTGGTTACAACCAGTGGAGCTGCACGCAACGGAGGTAGTCGATCGAGCAAACTGTTGCTCGTCGAACAAGAGGTTGTCACTTTGGAAGAATCAGATGATGAAGATAATTCGATGGACGAGGACAGAGGAGATCCAAGAACAGCCGGTGTTGACGCTGCGTCAGGGATTGGTGTGGTTAGTGAAACCACGTATGATTGCAACGCAGGGAAGGAACCTAGCAAGTTGAAAAAAGAAGGTGGATGAAAAAGCGACAAATCGAAGTCCAGAAAATGATGGTGAAGCAAAAGACCACAATTAGTGAACGGGTGACCGACCCAACAACACATTCGCGGTGACAGATTAACCCCGACAACGAAGAACAGCTGTCCAAAGGAATAAAGTTCTTGGAAAACAGATGATGAAAGGGGACCAGCTGATTTATTTATCTAGTATTCAATCTACCACTGGCCAGGTTGGACGAGTTAGCACGCACATGGTTAGCCGAAGGGGCACATCGGAAACGGATGAGAGAGGTCAGATGTGCCCAGACTGTCTTTGAAATGCCTTTGCACCATAAAAGTGCACGCTTGTGCTTCTGGACATGCAGTCATTGAACGTGGCTGGAGAAGCCGTAGCATATGACCGCCAATCGATGTCAATGGCACTCTGGTTGTCCGGTTCTATCGAGACTATCTGAATGAGTGTCTTAAGCCACCTAGAAATGATTGTGGTAGGCCAGCACTAATCCTTGCCCCGCCCACTTTTATTCTTTTCCACACAATGTGGGTTTTAAGTAAATTATGATTGTACGGTAGCGAAGCACCAGTGCTGAGCACTGATGTTCCGTTGTCGATGATGACGATGATTCAGCTGCAACACCCTTCCGGTGCCTAGCTGTTATGCCACCCGGAGGAAGCACGAGGTCATCATCATCATCGACAGCATGACACCAGTGTTCAACACCGATGCTTCACTGCCGAGGGCTGGGATACAGCCAGGTCGCTCAGTCTAAAATCAGCGAACTAGATGGGGATATTGGAGACCATGAGTCCAAGAATATTGGACCAGGGAAAGTGAGGAACAGCAGTGTGTGTCGTTGGAAGGCTGAGGGAAAATGGTAATATGGAGGAACCGAGAACGGATTGAATAACTTTCATCCGAGAATCTTTGTAAGTTCGATGTTCAGTGCTATAAAGTTCAAAATGAAAACTGAGAAACTAATGAGTGACAGGTACGTTGGAATCTGTAAGGGCGATGCACGATAACATCATCCACACGCTCTTGAAAATGGGAAGGAATGAACGACAATAATTTATTGATTGAACGATGGGAGGCTAGTAGAAATTTATGAGGAATTTCTGCGCTGATGTCCCTCATACAATGCCTTCAAGTCACCGGTGCATAGTGGCCGTTCAGAAAGCTTTCAGTTTAGGCTTAGTTGCAAATCACAAACAGACGGGATCGCAAAAGGACCAGATATCTTCGAGACCGCAACAGACACTAACAGTGTCGAGAAAAATCCATCTTCTGTGGAGCGGCTGAGCGAAAACCCATATCAGTGGCCACTCCTGAAGACGTTACTATCAAATTCGTACAACGGCTGTTTGGAACAGATGGACTGCCAAACTTTGGATACACAGGGATTAGTGGAAGCTAAATTGTAGAAAGGGGAACAAAATGGGGAATCACTAAGATCTGTGGCCTGCTTCAGTACGATCGAACGTCTGGAGATATCCCACGCAAGAGTCTGCAGATGAAGGGGGCACGCACTGTAGCAGTTCTGAAAGGAAACCGGGAGTTGGCATCATGGCTTTCGCTGCGAATTTTCTCTATTTCTAAATTAGAACTTCAGCAATGACGTCGTTTCAGTTAGAGACTTATGTTGGAAATCGCTTGTACGGTGGAACTCGACTCAGGGTCCGCATGACATGCATATAAGGTGTACGCTCCGAGATATGGGAGTTCAGGAAAGTTGGATATCGGGTATGCAGACATGAAAAGAGTAGGTGGTGGGTGGGTGGGACAAACAAAGGAGAACGGGTATAGGCGTAACTCCGCCCTCGATACCGGAAACAATGGAACAGTAGACAGCTTAGAAACTGGAGATGGGTGAGGTCACAAGACCCGGATAGTTGCATTCTAATTAAGGAACAATAGACGGTGGAGAGTAGGACAATCTCCTAACACTAAGCAGGAATATTGCACCTCAAGGGACAAAAAAGGAGCGAATTCATTGTAGTCTGTACATCGATGTTTGTTTGACCAAAGATATGCCGGCAGTGCAGCTTTCAGGGGCTTGAAACAGTAAAACACATAAGACTCCGACAAACTGGGCGGTAGTAGCAACCATAGATTTCAAACCGAAAACCGTCTAGAATTGAAGAGCACTCCAAAACCGGTTTTTATGAGCCGTTTGTCATTTTCCCTACCCAGCACTTGGCACACTAGGAGTACCGCAGTTGCCGTGTTTCTTAGTGCCAAAGCAACATCCTGGGATGATGCAAACTCAGCGTTATTGTGTTTTCGACCATGGCTACGTTAAATAACCGCCCTAAAGCTGCCACCTTGATGTGATGGTCGGGATTGAGTGCTACAATGATCCCACAGGCTACACTGGTTAGAACTACGTTCTACAAGGTGCAACCATTCCAGGAAGGCCAACGAAGACCAGTGAGGCAAAGAGCAGCGAAACCCCGCACTACAAGTAATCGTGCTACGGGCGGTCTGGAGGCAGTCGTAAAATCGTCCGCGCATTTTTAATACGGTCGAAATACTTTTGAAACCAAAGAGTCCGGTGCTGCTCAAAAGGCACCTGCTGTGCGCAGCCGCATCAAGAATGAAACAGTAACACCCTACTGTCTGCGCACTCGGGTTGAGCCAACCCCATACAGCCAAGCAGGTCGGGCTGTTGAGTTATCGGCTCCGGGCAGGGTCCCCAAAGAAAACTCTACTGCATGCTGCCCCGTAAGTCAGACGTTTGAGTCAAAGGCTCAAGATGGGGTACTTCAACCAACCCGCCTCCCTCGGTCTGGGCAACCTGGAAGTATCATTTACCCGTGCAGTTCGGTGTCAACCGATGTCCCCTCCCAACCCCTTCTCACTACACAAGCAAACGTCGCAAGGTCATTTGACTGTCCATTATCTGACCGAAGGGCCTCGCTGCCTAGTAACAATGAACAAAATAACCTTTCTAAATTCACAAGATCTTTTCTATATAGGAGCTTTTAACGTACGCACGCCATGACAAATTAGCAAACAGATACTGTTTACTGAAACCTTATACTCACTTAAAATTGATGTATGTTGTGTCTCCGAAACACGCATACAAGACCCGAGCGTGGTTATGCATCTCAGAACGCCAAGGATGAACTCAGCTCTTTCACATTTCTCCCTCCGTGTGTCCGGTGACCCAGAAGCGATGACTCGTGGAATATATGGCGAAGGAGTTGCACTCAGCTCCAGAGCTGAATGAGCTTTGCTGGATTGGATCGCGGTGAACAGTCGTCTTTGCGCTGTCCGGTTATCCGGTTCAATTAAGCTCAATGCCTCTCGGCATAAAAAGCGGTGCCTGTTTGTAGTGTCGGCTTCTGACCCAACGGACCGCAGTTCTGAGGCGGAGAAGGATACTTTCTATCAAGAGCTATCCGAGCTCATTCGTCAAGCGAAATGCACTGATACTGTGATCCTTGCAAGCGATTCAAATGCTCAAGTAAGTCATATGAGCTCTTGGAATTACATTTGGGCGGTCGATTCGCAGTCAATGCTTTCCGAACAGACAACGGAGAGCGACCAATTCAGTTGTGTGCTGATCACGAACTGTTTCTGGCAAGTATGATCTTTCAACATATACGTTCACATCGTGTAACCTGGCGGCCGCCAACTACAAATCAACCGTGGACCCAGTTGGACCACGTGGCCATCAGCCACCGGT